ACAATACATCATACAGTACATCATACATCATACAGTAGATCATACAGTACATCATACAGTACATCATACAGTACATCATACAGTACATCTCAACAGTACATCATACATCATACAGTACATCATACATTATACAATACATCATACAGTACATCATACATCATACAGTACGTCATACATTATACAGTACATTATACAGTACATCATACATTATACAATACATCATACAGTACATCATACATAAACATCATACAGTAATCATACATACATACAGTACATCATACAGTATACAGTACATCATACATCATACATACCATACAATACAACAATACAGTCATCTACTTATTCATACAGTAATCATACAGTACACATACATATCAGTAATCCAAACATACAGTAGATCATACAGTACATCATACAGTACATCCTACATCATACAGTACATCATACATCATACAGTACATCATACATCATACAGTACATCACACAATACATCATACGTTATACAGTACATCATACAGTACATCATACAGTACATCATACAGTACATCCTACATCATACAGTACATCATACATCATACAGTACTCCATTCATACAGTACGTCACACAAATCATCTTATACAGTACATATACAGTACGTCATACATCAACCATTAACAGTACGTATCATCATACAGTACATATACGTACCATACATCATACATACATATACAGTCTACATCATACAGTACATCATACGTACAAACATACAGTACATCACACAAGTACATTCATACAGTACATCATACAGTCATACAGAATCATCATACATCATACAGTACATCATACAGTACATCATACAGTACATCATACAGTACATCATACATCATACAGTACATTATACAGTACATCATACATCATACAGTACATCATACAGTACATCATACAGTACATCACACAATACATCATACAGTACATCATACAGTACATTATACAGTACATCATACCATCAGTACAGTCACATATACAGTACATAATACGTAATCTAATATCTTTCATACATCATACAGTACATCATACAATACAATACATCATACAGTACATCATACATCATCATACGTACATCATACAGTCATACAGTACATCATACAAGTACATCACACAATACATCATACATCATACAGTACATCATACAGTACATCATACAGTACCATACATATACATACATCATACAGTACATCATACATCATACAGTACTCATACATATACAGTACATTACAGTACATCATACATCATACAATACATCAACAGTACATCATACATCATACAGTACATCATACAGTAGATCATACAGTACATCATACAGTACATCATACATATCAGACAGTACATTCATACAGTACATCATACATATACAGTACATAATACAGTAATCATACATATATCATACAGTACATCATACATTAAAATCATATCAGACATCATACATCATAGTAGATCATACGTACAAGTACATCTACATCATACAGTACATCATACATCAGTACATCATACATCATACAGTACATCCACAATAATATCGTTATACAGTACATCATACAGATCATACAGTACATCATACAGTACATCCTACATCTACATCATACATCATACAGTACCATCATCATCATACAGTACGACACAATACATCATATATCGTACATCATCAGTACGTCAACATCATACATAATATACGTACGTACATGACATATACAGTAATGATGACAGTAGTCAACATCATACAGTCATTATACAGTACGCATACATCATCGTATACAGACGTCATTAGCACATACCTACTCAGCAGACCATACAGTACATCCACATACATAGTACAGTACAGTCATACAGTACATCACAAAACATCTACATAAGTACATCACACATCATCAACATCAACAGACATCATACAGTACATATACAGTACACACAGTACATCATTCATCATACATATCAGTCTGGATACATCATCAGTACATCACAGTACATCATAAGTACTCACACAATACATCATACAGTACTCATCAGTTCACACAACATCACATCATACTACTCATACAGCTCATACAGTACGTTCAAAATCTACAGTAATTATACAGTTACTCATTTCCCCTCAGTAGTCATCATCAACATAAATTTCATTACGTCACACTCATAGTACACTGAGTAAAAAGTAATAACAATTCATCATAAGTACATACTTCTCACACGAATACATCAACATCATAGTACATACCATAATCATAATCATAGTACTCATAAGTACATATACAGACATCATACAGTACCATACATAACAGTGACATTACAGTACATCATACATATACAGTACATCATAGACCAAAGCATACATATCAGTTAAGACATCACCATCATATCATACAGTAATATCAGTACATCAACTCTCATACTACATACATATCCAATACGTATCATCAGTTCTACATCTACGTACATTATCATAGTCTACATCTCAGAATTAACAGTACATCATAAATCAAAGTAACATCCTATCATACATTAAGGTACGTCTCACAACGTACTTATCAGTCTACATCATACGTACTTATAGTCATCATCAGTACAATACAGTAAGTCAACATTTACAGTACAGTATACAGTACGTAACTATACCGTCATTATACAGGACATCATCAGTACATAAGTACGTCAACATCATACAGTACTTTAGACACAAGTAATCAGAAACATACCAAAGACATCACAAACAATACCAGTACAAACAGGTATAACATCATGAGTACATATCGTACATAAGCAATACGATGCATGTGACAGAATCAACATAATCATACATATAACAGTACATTACAGTAATCATACAGTACATCACTACATACAACTCATAAGTAATTAGTAAACCCTCCATCTTTATACGTACATAACACATCCTATTAAACATACATCATACACACATCCTGTCCACATACAAATAAGTCATGAACAGGTCGTGGTAATGGCTGGAGAGGAATGGGTGGAATGGTATCAAACACATGGTTTCCATGGTTTCCAGG